GCGTATCTCTACGCTAGTTTCGAACGATTTTGAAGCGGTGTATGAAATAGGGATGCAGGTTTACCACTGATATTCGTTTTGATCTCAAACTATGCGTAAAAGTACGAATAAAAAAATCAATTGCAAGATGAATAAGTTAACTCACCTTGTTTGATGTAGTATGGCAGAAAGACGTATTGTAGGAGTGGAAGTTCCTTATTAGACAAGAAAAAATCGCACAGGTAACGTTGTGGGTTCGCACCACGACGGAATTGTATTGCAGTTTTTTACACCCGATCACGACGAAGAATGTTTTCTGTCTCTCTGCTCCTCTCCTTGAATATATTTCGTAACGACCAATTCGAGGAAATAAAAAAAAGAACAGGGTCGGCATGAACAGATTTGAATAGTAGGAGTAAGTAGTAGGATTTTATCATAATAAGGTTCTAGAAAACAACAACGTGAATTATTTGCCCACTTAAATTGTAAATGCAACCTAAACCATATTTACGAGTATGAAACAAAAATAATAAAAAAAAAAGAAATGAAAATTTAATGTTTCATAATGAACCAAGTTTGGCTGAATGCGCTGTTGGACAACATATATGGGGCTTTTTTGAATTCTCTCCTTAACCAGTGTTTCTCCTTGTGGATGATTTCAGCTTGACACCACTTGATGTTATGTTTGGACTCATCTAGGAAAATGATTGTTTGAGGTATGGTCTTCAGCACGGCTGGTGTAAACCTCGAAGAAGAAATGTGTCAATTGAGGCAATTGAGGCTTCTCGACCTATGTCGAGAAGCGCTTACTGCGCAACCTCTGCTGCAGGCAACCAGTAATGCAATAGAGCCCAGGTTTGTGTTTAATAAACCCTACAAAATACAAATAAAACAGAACATAGAGTCAGATGCTACAAATGCAATACGTATATATACAGACAGCTCAAAAACCAAAGAAGGCTAAGGATGTGGAGTGTACTCTATATCACTAAGTCTAAGGATTTAGTGGGGAATGAGAGAAATACTAGCGTGGTCCAAACATAACTGTCTGATATCTCAATCGCCACGAAAGAAATAATCAGGAAAGGAATTTCTGGCAAAAACATAACAATCTGCACTGACAGCAGAGAACGTGTTACCTCAGGGCTAGTAGAGTGTCACCAAGATTTAGCCAAAGCCTGGATAGATAATAACATCATCCTGAGGTGGGTTAAAGGGCACGACAGGAGGAAAGGTAATCGCATTGCCGACTCTTTAGCCAAGGAAGCGGCTGGACTGAAAATTTTAGGACGCAGTGGCACCTACGACCTAATGACTTCGATAATTGCGAAACTGGCCAAATGTTACACCCATGCTCAATCCCTAAAGAGATGACCTTGGATGACCCTGGAAAGCTGGCGCTGAAGAAATGTCTGGCGATGACCAGGAAAAATCTACAGTAGGATTTCTGACTGGCCACTGTCAACTAGGAAACACCTTCATAATATGGGGCTAGTGGGCACACCTCTATGCAGGATGTGTGAACAGAAAGATGAGACCATCAGGCATGTCCTATGTGAGTTATCGTCAACGAGAGAGTGTGTGTTCGGCGAGTCTTGGCCTACACTTGCCGATATAAAGCAGATATCTTCCAGCGACCTGTCCACCTTCCTGAAAAGGACAGGATGGACGATGACCTAGGAGGACAACTTCTCGGGAGGATGTACAATGGGTCACATGTGGCCTATGTGCTGTGGCATACACTCACCCTCTCTACTCTACAGATACAGATACAGATGGTCTTCACCTCAAGTAACTCACTTCCTTTGTGGGAAAGCAAAAAATTATCAACTGAATAAGTTTAAATCATGATCATTAGTAGATGAATACTCATTTAGATATTTATTCTTCATTATCACTGATTCTCAAAACATCAAATACTCCAAGATTCAAATTGAAAGATACCTTAATCTATTCGTTTCAATATGAAAATTAGTATATTGAAAACTGAACTGCGATTGGATTGGCATAAAATATTATGACCGGAATGTGACTGACTGTTTTAACATTATACTCATTTGTTCAACGAACAATTTCGATAGTTCTATATAGAACCTACACAAGTTGGGTTGGATGTTTTTTTTCTGGCGTAACGATTGGGTTGGCATGTAGCAGTTAGTAGTAATTAGTAATTTTCAGTCAGCTGTTTGATGAATGAATCAAGAGGAGCCCAGTTTCATTGCAATCACGACGATATAGAGTTTTTCGTAGGATAGCGATATACTAGTGAAAACAGACCATTATTTTGAAGTTATTGACACCAGTATGAATGTAATTTTACGATTTGTGTTCGATTTGAGAGCATTGGTATAATTAGATTTCAAATTGTATGCAATTTGTGTATGACTTACTCAGAATTGTTTTATAGAAATATGTGATGTTATAGATTATTCTTATATGCAAATCAGTTAATTTAGCAATTTCCAATGTTGATTCATCAAATTCAAAACATATTTCGTTTCAAATTGGTGTTTCTTAGGAATCCATATTGTCTCCAACTCTCGTTTTATTATATGTCAACGACTCATTCGAAAAAAACAAAAATCCAATGTATTGCTATGCTAACGACAACACAATTGTCTCGTGATACCATTTGGATTCCAGAACATTGGCTGCGGATGCACATCTTCACCGGCAGGAAGCTGAAACTAGCTAGGTTCAATTCAATGCCACAAAAACTCAGGCATCGATTTTCTCCAAAAAGATAAATATCTCCGAACCTGATATAATAATGTCAGGACAAACAATTCCGCTTACTGCTTCGATAAGTTTGTTGGGGTTAAAATGGACACCAATATGTCTTCGTACAATCATGTCGCTGGAATTGTGAAGGCTGCTTCTCAAAAGCTTTGAACATGGGTCTGAAACAGAAAACTATACACATCTGAGTAACTTTTTATGCTTTATGGAGCTCATATCAGACCTTCTTTTGAGTATTGTTTTCATGTATGGTGTTCCGCCCCTAAGCATACCCTGAAGCTGTTGGATTCCATCCAGGAAAGAACCTTCCGCCTGATTGACTACGCGAATATTACTTGCAACCTTGATCGTCTGAAACATCGAAGAAAGATGGGATATTTGTCTCGCTCCTATAAATACTTCCACGAAAAATGTTCAAGTTACTTGGCACATTTGATTTCACCAAGAGCGGTACATATCAAAAGTACGCGAAGGAATATGGCTGCTCATCATTTTGAGGTTCAACTCAGTACACTACGAACTTCACTGTTTGAGAACTCTTCCATTTGTAAAACTGCGTTTATGTGAAATTAACTTCCTGAGAACGTTTTTCCAAATGGATTCAATCTCCAGCAATGAAAATCTAATGTGAATTGCTACTTCCGCATAAACAACGTTCTTAGAGCGCTTAAAGATTTCACTATAAAATATGTGTTTTGTCTTTAAAAACAATTATCCATATCTATCCAGGTTCCTGTTCAGCTTTGTCTCGCAGCTTATAATATGACATATGCCAGTTTGAGTTATCAGAGTTATCAGCGATTTGAAATCATGATAATAAAATTATGCAATGAAATGCTATGAAAAAATAATAGGATTCAGGGTGAAGGTAAAAACCAATGCAGAAGTAGTATTTTGTTCCGTACAAGAAATAGCAAAGAGTTGTGTAGAGGTCACATTGTCCTTATCTAATGAGTATTGTTCTCAGACAAGTAGCTGAGAGATGAAAATGAGTTTAATTTTGATACCATCATTCCTATAATGCATTGCCACTGCGTTGCCAATGGGTTGCCACTTTCCCCTCATGCAGAAAGGGGCAACCCGGAGCATGTCACAATGCACCTCTCCGGAATATTAATTATTATTCCGACTCCGACCCCGGAGTATGCTTGTGAAATTGTTTCCTGGCTCCGTCTGCAGGTGGCGTAGTGGACATCCCACTGAATCAACTGTAGAGAGATTATATGACTAGCTGGAATTATTTTCATTTGGTCGTGATATTCAGACGGTTCACACTGTTCTGAATAGACCATGCCCGATATTGATGATGGGGCAATTACTCCGAAACCGGTGTATCGGTTGGTCGGATCGACCAAACGAAATTAATTTCTGCTTTTTATAGTAGGAAATAATGTGCAACGAATTTTCCAAATCGAAGACGTTGCACAGGTACCTGATGGTTTTACTTCAACTCTCTGCGCGGTATTAGCTGGGTGGGTTGTTTATTTTTCCGTTGGGTATCTGCCACACGTACCTACAAAGTCGTAACCTATATAACGCAGTAGCTTTATCATATGATTTGAATATCACATGATAAAGCTACTGTGTTAGCGAAACATGTTGTGATATATATTTCTCAAATAAGGTTTGTGGTAGATCAAATCATGAGGTGTAGTTAATTAAATTACTATGGATCTTTATCGGAACGGCGGAATTAATCAGCAAACTCACTAATCTTAATTTTATCTCTTGAAATGAATGAAATCATGACTGTAACGCAACGTAACCATTGAAAACAATCTGTAAATATATTCTATTCTTAGGAAGCGCAAATATTAATCTGAAAACTGATGATATATCGTCACTTCTAATGCACTATAACCCCTTATATCCTATTTGTTGACTAGTTCTGTCAGCTTGTCCACTCAAACACCATAAAAACCATTTATCAGAAGAAATTCAATTTTGTGAAAATGATATTTATTTTTTGTTTGGATTGGGTGTGATATGGCAAGAATTATAGACCAAATGGCAGTTCATGGTGATCTTGATAAAATATGAGAGTGTATGAAGTGTACAAGCGATTAACTTTGGATTCAAGTTTTTGCGAAAACTATACCTGGAAGTTTATTTCACATTTTCAAATAAAATGTTCTCAGTACATTTGAGTTGAACCACATCCAGCTGTACTTTGTCGCATACTTTTGATATACATGGCTTTGAGTGGAATCAAGCAGGCTAGGAAGTGTTCGACACTTCCCGTCGAATTACAATTATAATGTTCTAGAAAATCGGATCCTAATAAACCATCGAATTCAATATCAAGGTTGTGAACATAGACTTTGTGGGGATCATTATCTTTGAAATTGATCAGAGTCGATTCAGTGATTAAAACTTTTTGGTCCGTGATTCCCTGGACTATTACATTTTCTGGGAATCGGTGAAGGTATTTTTCACAAGTTCTTGGTTTGAATATCGAAATTCCTGCACCAGTATCTATTAAAATTTTGAAGGTATTTGAAAGGTCTTTGATGTAGTATAAGTTTTTTGAATTCATGGAGTGAAGTGAACTTACATGAAGCGTTGTTCCGGGAAGTTCAGATCGGGGTGATAATCTTCTAGGTTCATCGATTGGATTTGAGTTTGAATGTCCGATGTCATGCCTTGGGATTGACTGAAATCTGGAGGGTGATGTTGTGTTGGAAGTGAAAGAAAATCCTGGTATTCTGAGATATTTGGATTGTTTATATATTGGTCGTGTTGGTCATTTTGGTCATATTGATCGTATTGATCATATTCTTGCGGGCATTGACCATTATCGGTATAATAGTCATTTTCTTGGCTACTAGCTGTATAGTAGTTCTCATACTCTGTGTTATAATCTTGAAGAGGTTGAGATTCTTCATATGTAACGCAATGTGTTCTTTGTTGATTTGAGTTGGGGTTGCGTTGAATTACTGAGGGACGATTCTGGTTTTGGTTTTGGAAATTTGGCCTAGGTGGGGTATTTTGGAATCGCGGTCTTTGTTGATTGTTTTGAAACTGTGGTCTTTGTTGATTGGTTTGAAAATTCGTTTGAGGACGGTTTTGTTGGGGAAAATTTGGTTTCGGAAAGTTCGTATTTTGAAAGGAATTTGTGTTATTTGGTGGTGGTCGTTGTCTTTGGCGGCATTCGTTCGACAAATGACCAAAGCGTCCACAAAAGTTACACGTTCTAGAAGACTGAGGTTGTTGGGGTCTTTTGGAAATGTTGTTTTTCTGTTGGTTATGTTTGTTATGCTTTTGGTTTTCGAAATACGAAAGTTGGAGTTCCCTCCTGATTCGCATATGTGCTTCGAGCATGTCTCTGGGGTTTCCAGCGCGTATGATTTGTCCTAGTCTGGGTTCAAGTCCGGTAAATAGTGAATTCAGTGTCATCGTTTCGATGAGTCTCGATTGAGCTGTTTTTTGATCGGCAGTGAGAGTAGATTTTTGAATACAAGCGTGCATTTTGGCGTTATGTACTTGTAATCTGTTGAAAAATATCAACGCGGTTTCATTTGGTAGCTGTTTAAGTCTTTGCAGGTCTTGGATTAAGGAGGTGAGATCTCGGGTATCACCAAAGTTTAAATTCAGTAGGTGTCTGATCTCTTGATATGTTTCGGGGTTTCGAGAGCTTATCAGTTGGGCAGCTCTTCCGCGAAGTTTGTTTTTAATGTGTATCGTCAAAAGATTTCTTTGGTCGCGAGTTGACATTTGGTATGCACAATCGCAAGCATTTGTAAAGGTTGTTAGAAATATTTGGTCTCCTTCAAATTCAGGGACGATCGAAAATATTTCCGACAATTTATATGGTTCAATTTCGGGAAAAGGTTCAGGGATTGGTTCAGGGGCATTTTCGTTGTCAGGCATATCGCTCAATTAATCGATTCACTGGACTATAATAAATCAATAATAGCAATACTCAATACCTCTGAGATAATCGAACAGTACGATTATTTTGATGATAATTGATCTGTGCAATTATCAACAATTGGTTTTACAATAAGCCAATAATCAATCTGTATGATTATTGCAATGAAATAAAATTCAATACAATAAACGAGATTGAATCTTTGTTGACTTACAGTATTTGTTTCATGGGTGATTCGTCTTGTTCTCGAAGCTTCACTAGGTGTTCCTTCCGTGGTTTTCTTCAAGTGATGACTCCTCGGGTTCTCTTGGTTCTCGCTTTCTCGAAGGGCTCGGTCCTTTGTTTCCTTGAAGGGCTTGGTTCTTTGATTCCTTGAAGGATTGGAATCCACCGCTGCCAGTTAGAATTTTCTTGTTCTAGCAACGTTCAGGAATCCTACCGACTGCGCCAATTTGTTATATCTTGTTTTCCACAATTCACTTTTTAAAAATTGGTTCATTTCTTTATAAACACTTTATTACAATATTTGAATATAATGTGAAAAACTTGAAACATTAACTGAATAAGTAATTGATATGAATCGTATATGAACTGTACTAGAGAATGATTTCTAAGTTAATGAACATCTTTCTGACCTCGCAGGGTCTATTTATACGTTTGGTATGAAAAACAATATTTGAACAGTGTCAGCAATTGCTTTGTCTGGAGCACAAGTGTTCATATTGCTGATACTGCACAATAAGCGCTTTTAGCAGGAAGCTGTTATCGCTTTGTAATTTAATACGTGTGAGACACTAATTCGCATATAACAGGTATATTGATGTTTGTTACGTGTTCGGAAGTAGACTGTTCTTACACGATCTGCTTCCTACTATAAATATTGTTGTTGATTTTTATCTGAGTTTTTCTTCTTCTTGATTTACCTCTTCTCCCCGTAAAGGTTTGAAATGTTAAATCTAAAGTTCTCACGACGTTTCGACAAAATCTCATTTTTCACCATCTGGCGTTTAACTGTTAAGTGTTCGGAAGTTGACAGAGCTTACTTGATCCGCTATCTACTATATAGGTACCTTGATGTTTGTTATTGTGTTCGGAAGTAGACTGTCCTTACACGATCTGCTTCCTACTATAAATATTGGTGTTGATTTTTACGTGAGTTCTTCTTCTTGATTGACCTCTTCTTCCCGTAAAGGTTTGAAATGTTGAATCTATTGATGTTCATTACGTGTTTGGAACACGTGCACTGGGGAACCATATTTTACCTCATTCTTCTGACATATTGTAATCTGGGTGGAATCAAGCGGCTCGATTCAGTAGAAATTATCAATAAAAGAGGGACCAGTTCCATAATTCTATTCGATGTCCCTTGTTATCAAGGTTGCTTGTGATATTTGTGTTTCCAATCAGGCGGATGGATTTTTTTCAATGAAATCTGGCAGTATCAGAATATGCTCAGAAGCTGAGTTACTCTGTACTTCCTCATATGTATGAGGAACTGCAGAGGACTGAGAGGTAGAGAGGATTGAAAGTTACTGAGATGTGTTCAAATTGTTGATTCGAAATAGTGTTCCGTATTCACGACAAGCTCACTTTCTCATAACAGTAACGTGATTATACCAGGAGCAAGAGATGTTACGCTGTTAATGAAATTTGAGCCCTGATTTTATGATGTCTGGTTTTGCCACAATCTTCTTCTTGAAGAAAACCGATGGAGTTTTAGAGCTCAATATTCTATTTCGTTTTTTGTCACCACAAACTGATTTTTCTCAGGTCTACCTCGGAATATAAAATCTCGAGTTCAACGATAAACCAGGAAAAAATGTTGATCATTTACGAACCAAAGACTTTGAAAACATTTTCCTGCTACTGCACTTTCCGCAAAATCTATCCGTTGTATAACTAGTAGAAATGTATTCAATACTGTTCAAAAATATTCAAATTCAACTTGAACATGGCATATTTTTATGCCACACTAACTTTTCACAATAAAAGGGTAAAAGGGTCATATTAGTCATTTTTTCTTTCGACATGTCAGTGAGGTGTTCATGAACTTTTGAGGAAACACGCCGTTTTCTTTGAATAAACTCGATATTTATGGTTCACTCAACTGTAAGAATTACTAAAATAAAACTTGAATTCTCCTGTAAAAATGGAAAACATTTAAAATAGCGCATTTTCGTGTCATACGTGTGTATTTACAGATTACAGAGATAGCCCATCTAAAACATACCACCAAGAATTAAGGAAGGGGCAACAAAATCCAAACTGACATCAGTTTTTTTTCGATAGAAACAACTTTTGAAGGAAATTACCGTAACTTTTTCACAGGTTTTCATGGTTTTGAAAAATAAGTTATCAGACTTATCTAGGTCTGATGCGGAAACTCAATAATTGTGTATTCACTAAAAAGAAGTCCTGCAAATCAGCAAAAACAATGAATTCTTTCAGAGGAATTCAAATACAGTTTGAGAAATTAAATCTAATATATTTGTTTTATTTTTCGTCAAACATACTAATACATTTCAAAACTCTATTTTTCTGAAAGAGTAGATAGCCCTTCGAAAATAAAGCATCACAGTATAGAGATTATGTCTTGTGTTCTGCTACAAAACGCCTTGTTGTACATTTTCGATGGACCACTCAGTATGACAGGAATATAAAATTTCATATTTTCATACATACAGAGAATTTTGAATCATCCATTGATCAGCTCAAGGAAAATTTCATAAATTGATTGACAGTTTGAAAAATATTCAATCAAACTCCCATTACTTTCGCATCAGGGAGAGAACTTCTGTAAAATTGAAATTTGAAATTTTCTTCTTCATTTTCTTTCATTTTAATCAACGCGGGGCGTAATTTAACTGCTTCCCAAATATTTCGATGTCTGGTACATGTTGATTGATACATGATATTGCAACTGAAAAATCGAAAGCAAACGGATACGTAAAACGCCAACTTTCATTCTCTCGACCTCAAATTTATCGACACTTTGATTTTTGAAGCGGTACCTTATATCGTGAGCTAACATTCATTCCAGGTCTCGGCAGATATGTAAGACTGTCAGTGAAAACGTGAATTCGGAGCTGTTACTTATAGCCTAAATTTAAAAAAGTCATACGTGTGCGAGGCGAGGAAAATTGGTAAATTAAAAAACAGACTCTAATGTTGACACTTTATTTTCAATATAATTTTTACAAGGTTTCTGATGTTGTTTTCTAGAATGAAATAACTCAAATGTTGCAAACTAGGTAAGATCCATCATTTCACCTAATATGTAAATGGCGGAGAAGAACAACTGATACAAATTGTAATGAAACATTTCCACCTATTATTATGGGTAGCGTTATAATTCAGAAACTCATTGAGATTGTTTGAAAAATGATGATTGAATTTTATGCAATTGCAATTCAATAATTCCTCTTGAAAATAGTATAGATTTTGTTAGAATTCAAAATGGCCCTACCAACACAGTTTTTATTCTGAACACAGCATGTTCCGCATCACTTTTTGATATTATAAAATAGTTAGTCTATTGATACAGAATTGTCGATTTTTTTCGAATTGACTAATATATGACTAGGAAATATTGATACTTGTAGCGAATATTTTTGAAATGACTTTCAGACGGAATATCCCAACTAGCCCAGAGAAAATTAAGATATCCATCTATTTTTCAAATCTTATCATAATTCCTGAAATCAGAATATGATCACCAGTATATTTGGTCCCTTGATGTAATTCATTCTCCTGGAATGTCTTGAGGATTTATTGGCACATAGTGGAATTAGTAATATTGATAGATTTTTGAATTCAAATTTGAATGATTGATGAAATAAAAAACTAGGCTGAAAAAAAAAACATTTTAGTGAACATGCTGAGTTTCGTAAATTATATTCTCAATAAATATCAATAGAGTAATATTCAAGTCGGAGTTGAGATCATGTGGGTCAATTCTTCGGAAATTTCAAATTTCGTAGGGCGGCTGAAATTCATTACAAGATTCAATATTCTTTCAGTTTTTTGTTCAATAATAACTGTAATAATAGCTGTTATGTTCGAAAAATCATACTTCATGGAAATGTTGATGTTATATAATTATCCCTAGTTGAAATCAAAATGCCTGTGAGCAGTTTATTTAGAAACACGTGACGGCGTTGAAATAGCACCTCCAATAATTTTTACCCTTTTGTTGTCCCATACCGCCATGTCCTCTTCTTTGTAAATCCATCTGAAAAAAATAGACACGAATGAAACAACTGTATTTTTTTTTCATGATAAAGATAATTTTTCAATTTAACATTTTCCACATTCGATTTGTTTTTCTGAATCTTGTTGGATTATGGATTATATGATATGCATGTTCGAAATTATCATATATCTCCAATTAATTCAATGTTAGTCAATAAAAATATCTGCCAAGAACTTTTTGTAGTATAATGCAAAAATCATCTAAATCCAATTATAATTTGATTTAAAATCCATACTTCAATAAATCGAACAGTTTTGGGCCTATATAGCATATTTGAGGTTTTCAGCCAAAATTTGTATAAGGATTCTTTTCGAATTACTTTTTTACCATCTTTACATCTCAATTTAGGTAATATAGTATCAAGGGGCAAATTTTAAATCACCTTCAACTGAAGTTTGAGTAGAATATAGAATTTCAAATACTATTAATCATACGATAGTATTAGTTTGAAAATGCCCTTATAATACAAATAATGCATAGTGGTTTCAGGAGATATGCAACTGCATTATCCCATGGAGTTGAAAACATCTTCTCAACAGACCGTAATAAATCCCTCGCTTTCCAAGGCAACAATTTGCAATTGGTTCTCACAAAATATAAATGTATAGTCCCTATTAGTAGCAAATATCCAAGAACGGTGCAATACCAAACTGTACCAAAAGTTGTGCAAAATATTTGAATTTAATGACAAATTCTGACTTGATCCAAATGGAACTTTCTATAAATAAAATTTTCATGTTTGTAAAATAGAAACAATTCATAATAATTAATGATTTCGTCAGACTACTTCTCTGGAGTCCAAAGAAGTCCAAATCATGGAATCACGAAATTAGTCACCTACAGTTACCAGACTGAGTCATGGCCGGTGGGAGAAATCGTATCTGCGTAAAGTTTGGGTCAGTATTCAAAATATCCTTATGCAATTAACTTTTAAAATCCATCACTAACTGAATACGGTCCTGAAATTGGATGTTTACGGCTCGAATAATGTACCAGACTGATTACAGATTTCTGCACATCTACTGCACATCTTGAGGTAGGGGCTTCTCACCGGCCATGACTCAGTCTGGCAGCTGTAGTTTTAACATTAGATATTTCTTTATGAAAAATTTGTACTTCATGTATCGGATAATTTTTGAGTTGGAAGTAATTATGACATATTCAGTCGAATTGCATTGCATTCTTATAGTGTGAAAATTCTTACCGATCTCACATCGTCGTCAGACATTAGATAATGCTTGCTGCTCCTGGATGACAACCCATCTAATCTGTTGGGATTTCGAAATGTTTCTTCTCTCACATCTTCTTCCATTGCTTCTTTCAATGCCACCATGAGTTTATTTACTAACATTGCTGTTCGTTTCTTTGGAACGATAAGCTGAAAAGAAAATTCGAGTTAATTTTTTCTTTTTTATTTATGTTTATAATTTATTGGGACTGCAATGTTTTTTTGAGTCGAAATAGGTGGTGCACGTAGATCATCTCCCCATAATAAAACATATTGAAAAAAAAACAAATTCAATTGTATACATACTATATACCGTGTGACACAGACTTAAGGCACACCTCCCTTTTTTTCTTTATTCTTTCACCTATTTTAACGGAACTATTAATATTGATTATGCTTACAAAGAGGCACTTTTCGACGTAATGTGAGATTTTTTTCAACTTCCGGTTTTTCCGGAAATCTTATCAAAGTTCAATTTTCAAATGAAACACCCTGTATATTATTACATTTTTGAAAGCTACGCAATTTTCTGAATCCAATGATACCCCATACTTGATATTTTAAGTGTTGAGACGCTCGTTTTATTTTTCGATCTAGAGGGACATGAACGTGAAAAGAATTAATATTATTTCAATTAAGTCAACACAACGAATCAACATCCTTGTATGGAATAAAACTTAGATACTCATTTTCTCATATTGTAATTCATTTGAAAAACAAAACTTTTTAAAATACACAAATAAATCATAACAGCTGTTCGAAATGTAGACCGTCAACATCCAGGCATTTTGGAGCTCGTTTCGCGGTATTTTGAATCACACTGGCAAATTGTTGAGGCGTTATATTCTGAATGGCTTTTCTTACTCGTACTTCCAGGTCCTCGCGGGTTGTTGGGGAAGTTGCGTAGACAATATATTTCAAGTGACCCCAAATGAAAAAGTCCAACAGGGTTAAGTCGGGTGATCTAGCAGGCCACCTAATAGGACTATGTGTTCCAATCCATTGCTTTTCAAATCTATCACGAAGGTACTCCGTCACTGTCCTACTATTATGGGGAGGTGCTCTATCCTGCTGAAAAAACAGTCGATTTGCCAGATTGAGCGGTAAATCTTCTAAATATCCTTCAATTTTATTTCCGAGAAAACCTAGGTATCTATCACCACTCAAAGGACCAGGCCAACTATTCTAACCCCTACTATTTCCAGCCAGACATTGAATCCAAAGCGTTCTTGGAAGTTTTCCTTCCGAAACAAATTCTGATTTTCTTGTGCCCAATATCGGGTATTCTGTCAATTGAAGAAACCAAGATTGGTGAATCTTGACTCATCTGAGAATACAATTGTTTTCAAAAACTCATTATTGGGCTGCACATCATTGTGTAGAACCCATCTGCAATATTCCAGTGGGGATAATGAGTTTCTGAACAACACTTGGTATCGTTTTATAAAAACTTGAGAAAAATGAACAGATATTCATATATCTAATTGGAAATTTTCAAGAAATATTTGGAGTTGATGCATGTCTTCTTCTACATGTGTTGTGATGCGAGACTGCAGGATAAAATGTTAACTCTCCTTCTTCATATCATTTGAAATGGAGGCGGTAAGTAATCTGAAAATGTTCCGTATATTTTTCTCATACGCTTGAAATAGTATCGACAAAATTAGATGAAATATATTCATATATTTAATCATTTTGGGATATTCAAAGACGTACTGGCATGTCTTCATTCGTTAAAAAAATGTTCATTAACTCCTAATGAGGAAAATGAGGAAAATTATATGAAACTTCGAACTTCATTCATTTTCATTCATTTGAACTTTCGTATGGAATGAAAATTTCTTTAATATAAGGACTCACATTCTTCATCCTTTTGAATAACTCTTAATCTGTTTAAAAGTTGTTTTTCCGTCAACCACCTGTCGCACCCCTACGAACGACAACCCTCAGAAGTAGAAACTTGTGCGAGCTAAGGATTAACGAGATCTTAACTTTTAACGTGTGATTCCTAACACTATTTCAAAATGCTTATTGATTTTTTGTCATTACCCTCCAGAACTGTAACGTGACCCTTTTTTTTTAAATTTTTGTTTGCGAGTGAAAGTTCACTATTGATTACAATGATTGCTTGCAATTATAATAGCAATATTCATGTTCCTTCTAATATATGAGTCTAAATTATGACCATAGGAAAATCTAATTCTGTACTGTCTTCACTGAAATGCAGGTTCGTTTGATCAAACGTTTGATGATATAAACAATGCTAACTTTGAAAATTTCAATGACAAATTATCCCTTGTCATCAATAGATTTTCATATTCTGATTACAACAACAAAGTTTGTCAAAAATAGTCGGTAGGAAAAGGCCAGTTGAAGATCATCTGCTATTTCTTGGTTGATTACATTGTCCCATTAANCTGTCGCACCCCTACGAACGACAACCCTCAGAAGTAGAAACTTGTGCGAGCTAAGGATTAACGAGATCTTAACTTTTAACGTGTGATTCCTAACACTATTTCAAAATGCTTATTGATTTTTTGTCATTACCCTCCAGAACTGTAACGTGACCCTTTTTTTTTAAATTTTTGTTTGCGAGTGAAAGTTCACTATTGATTACAATGATTGCTTGCAATTATAATAGCAATATTCATGTTCCTTCTAATATATGAGTCTAAATTATGTCCATAGGAAAATCTAATTCTGTACTGTCTTCACTGAAATGCAGTTCCGTTTGATCAAACGTTTGATGATATAAACAATGCTAACTTTGAAAATTTCAATGACAAATTATCCCTTGTCATCAATAGATTTTCATATTCTGATTACAACAACAAAGTTTGTCAAAAATAGTCGGTAAGAAAAGGCCAGTTGAAGATCATCTGCTATTTCTTGGTTGATTACATTGTCCCATTAAAGTTTCCGACATTAGAAAATAATACTTGTTTTCTTAGTACTGAATGCTTATGAATTACTTACTTGTTTTCTGTAATCAATAATTCTTCATCATTTCAATCATTACTGTTAACACAACCCATTATTTTCGGTTTGTCAGTGACAATTCACCTTTGATTGTAATGCTTTCGTCATATAATTATAATAACAATCTTTATGTTTCTTGAAAAATATAATTTGCAGGACTATGACTAGAGTCATAACAAAAGCAGTAATACGGATTATTACAAATGAAATATACATTTCTTGAATTTTCACATTTCAATTTTCTGCTATAAATGGCACTGTCCTCAATACATGCTTCAGAAAAAAAATCTCAATAGCCTTCAGCATGAATGATACAACTATAATCTATTTATAAAAACAAAACGAGAATTATCCTCAAAGTTGGTCTTTTCATATTATATCGCCCCATTCGGCAGGAGGTTAATGCAATTGTTTGTCGGTCGCAGCACGGCACAATTCCGCTGCCATTGGCTTTTAGCTACGAAATGATGCACTAATGGCCTCAGATTTAGCTACTTGAGGGAAGTAAATGGTGCTGAAAGTGACTAGAGTTATAACATTATCTACGAGTTACGAACGATTGCCAAACTGTGAAGGAAACGTCTTGTAATTTTTCATAAACGTGTCGATCTTGAACACAATTAATTTAAATTTCTTCATTTTTAGAAAGATTCTTACCAATTTTCCTGTTGCTATTCTTTCAAATATATGAACTACTGAATTCGTTATTATTTCCTTTCCTTTCTTTTTCCAAGCATCTTTTAAATATTTTTCAGGTGTGAAAATAGCACTCTTTTCTAGGATGCTGGTGTGTAAATTACAGGACAGTTGCGAAAAACAGATAGTCCAATCAACATACGACAGCAATGGAAAACTGCAACAAGTTAAACAATAATACAGTGATTTTGAGATGTGAATTGTTTTGAGTTGTTTTCAATTTCCACGTCGTTAATTAACGTTGAGTTCCCACTGAATATTTTCAGAGATATGCTCGAACAGATCTATTTTCGATTTGAAATTAACATTTTCCTATTTTAATTTCCAACCGCCCTTCAACTTTTACTGTCGTTATACTCGTGTTCTAGATATGCTCTGTCAATGACTCCATGAGGTATTTAGAGAGCATGATGGGTATAATCAATTCGGTCTGTCGTTCGTTCAACGTAGCAAAATTACTTATGATGCACTGTTTGGAACCTGTTGGTGTAGTATTGAATATTACTGGAGTTTTTTCCCAATACCAAATCATTATTTTTTACACCATGACACGTGTTTCGATCACCAAGTGATCATCTGCAAGAGGAAGATTAAACTGGAAACTTCTCTAAGCTAATGCCATTTATACTATACAGGTATACCATACAGTTAACCATACCATCCTAAATTGATTTTACAATTTGCCTTATCTATTATTTTACAATATGTCCTTATGTAATGTTTGAATGTTATAGCTATATATAAAACAATTTTCAGCTACATACAAAATTGATTTCACAATATTGCTTACCCAAATTTATTTTTACAATGCGTCCTATGTAACTCCAATAATATTATTTTAACAAGCTATATAGTATGCTATTTGGTATTGGTCCGTCATCGTTATTCATAATATTATTATGTTTACTTATTTCTACACTCTCATAGGCATCTAGTTGCCNTGGCCACGGGTGGCTTCCTTGTGGTACACCTGATAAAACACTAATTTCATGAGATACGAATTCCTTTACTTCTACATACTTCTGTTACTTATCAACCATTCCAGTAGTGTTAAATGCTTTGGAGAAGTCAGAATGGATGACATCTACTTGATGTTTATCCTCCAGAGCATTCAACATATACTGTGAAAATAACAGTAGGTTATGAAATGTATTTTCAGTCTGCAGCCAGCACATTCACAGAATTCCTCTGTGATAATTTTCTTTTGACATATATAATCCATTCTAATTATTTATTTGAATGGGATTAATTGATCGATCCTGTACAACTAACAGGATACTTATTTACTGCACAATTCAAATTCGTCTTTTATAATTTGACGATGTCGACTGTCCACTATAACTACCACTTTGTATATAGTCAATGTTACATGACTTGTATATAAATTATATTTGATACATTATTATGAAATTCCATTGAAATTTTTTAGTAATATTTGCTTATAGGATCAGCGGCAAGGGGCAGCATTGGAAATA